GATTATATAATAAATATTTTTATATTTTTTGAAAAATATTTTTACAATAATTTCTACATATATAATAAATTATCTTAATCAAAAATATCAAAAATCATCTCCAAGAATCTCAAAAGCTATTGTGCAACTTTTAATAATAGTCCTCCTCTGTTAAATAAAAGTTTCAAAAGGGAGGACTCCTTAAAGTCTCTTTATAACATGTGCTCGTGTCTTCCTCCAAGAGAGGTCCAGATATCCTTCTGTTTCCGAATCTTCCTCAGGGAGTTCAACAATAATTTTCAGCACAAGGTTGCCACATACTAACATACAAGATAGCTAGAACAGAATAGGTTACAATGCTAGTAATCTCATATTAGACAGAGTCGCAAAGAAGTGAAAAGTTCTTACCCAAAGTTTTAATCCAAAGTTCTCTTCAATGAACGCTGCAAAATTTGTTTTGATGAGCTACAAGCCTCCTCCAAAGTGAAAAGCATGTTCAGTCACTCTTTAGCTTTGCAAAGTTTTATAGAGCACAAAAGGCGTGGCTAATTAAAGGGACACTGTCCTCTACCAAAAGTCATGCTTGAGAATTAGAAATAAGTTTTTTGAGGCTCTGTCCTTACATTAAAGGAGTATACATGCAGTAATCACTGGCTTGAGCATATCCGCTAGCATTTTCATGACATCTGTTCCCTCCTCCGGTTTTCGGCTCTGGCTGCCAGGTGGTTTCGTTTTCAGCCTTCTTTGCACAACTGCCATTTTTTACGATTTGTTTACAGTTTCTAACGCTTCTCTCCGACTCTGAAGATCGCTCCCACGCTGTCAGCAATCAAGTAAGCCTCTCAAAACACACTCGCAGTTTTTCCTCCCCCTTCCCCCTTCGTCTCGCTTATCAGTCTTTTCACATAAGAGGTGTCCCTCTTTGCGATCTGCTTTCCCATGGGGGGGTAATTTGCTTTTTATAGTCGTCTGCTTACTTTGAACTCACATTCATTGTAGGTCAGTTACTCTGACCTTGCTTGCTTCAACGCTGTTCCGCTCGATCTCCAGCACTTGTCCCGGTCAAACGAGCTTGTGCCTGAAGGCCATGCAGCGGCTGGACCATCAGGGCAGAGGGGAGCCTCAATTCTCCGGCTTTACGCCATTGAAGAGGCTACCCCTCAAAAGCCCTCTGGCCTGGAGGTAGCGCCCCTCCAACCCACTGGTGTGCGGATCGTTCCCCCACAGTCCTGGGAGAATGTCCGCCATCGTTGCTCCATAAACCGGAAGTCCGGCTTCAGTTTGTTTCGAGTCGCTAGTGCATCTTGTGGGATGTCAGGATAAACAAAGACTTGGGTTTCATTAAAAAGGAGAAAGCCTTTGTTTCTGGCACTTCTGAGATATCGGATTCAGAAAAAGGGGTAGCTGCCCCCAAGTTTCTCAAAATAAAAATGAAATACAAGAAGAAATAGCATGGAAAATAACCGAGAAATCCTTTAAACTATATAAGACTATAATGCATCTTCAGATTAGCTTTTTTGATAAGACTCTTAAAGTATACATTTCTTCCAACTATCTGTAAAACTATAAAATTAGCTACTATAGTAGGTTTGAAAACGAATGTATTACTGCAAATTAATTGGTGTCATATTCCGTTTTATTATTAGTATCTTCCCCTACCCTTTTCCTTTAGGTTATAGTTTAGAAATGCGCTCTCTCTCTCTCTCTCTCTCTCTCTCTCTTATATATATATATATATATATATTTATATATATATATATAAAGAAAAAAATCCAAAGACTTGCTTGGGGAGAGATGTTAGGTGTTAGATGTTTCTAAGAGAAAATATCCGGAATCTTAGTCAGAATAATTTTGAGTTCAGCATTAGCTGTTTCATTTTTATACCTTTAAGCAAGTCTTTGGATTTTTTTCATTGAGAAGTTTGTGCTATTGCACACTTAGATGTTCACGTGTTTATGCACATAACTGTACTTGAGCTGCAAGTTTTGTATGTACTTAGCATTGCTCAAAAAAGCTTCTTTGTCATTGTTCTTTAAGACAACTGTTTGCTTAAATCACTATAAGTAACTAAAAATAGAAAAAAGTTCATTTGAAAATCATTTAAATATATTTCCTTGATAATTTCTATACAGGTCAGGGCCATTCAGCACTTTTTAAAACGAGCAGAACTCTTGCTGCAAGAGCTGTCTTCTGGACTGGACATCCAGTGCTTAAAACTGTATTGACTAAAGATGCGTACTTAAAATATGAACATTTGGCAACAATCTATACATGGGTAGAGTAATAAAGAACATGAGTAAAATAAAGGGAAATATATCAGCTAGCTAGAACTACGTAGAATGTCTAAGCAGCATGTGGGATTAATATAAAGGTATTATTTAAAACAGAGTTCTTTATCACTTTGTTTTACAGAATAACCATGAAGAGAATGTTCCCAGTGACCTGCTGGATAGCAGTTCTATTTATCCTGCTACTGACTGATGACGCCCTTTCCAGAATACCAAAGTTCCGTTTCAATTTCGGGTTCAGGTCTGGCAGGAGTTCTTCCCACAGCAAAACAAAGCTTGGTTCTAGCAAGCCTGGTTCCTTATCCTGGAAACCTGCTTTGCACAACCCTGATTTCTCCCCCATCAACCTTGGTCCAAAAAAGCCTCGGTCCTTTTTAAGAGCGTCTGACCTCTCCACAGACATGACTAACATCTCTGCAATCTTCATTCGAAGACAGACTGAGTCCTCCACAAACAAACCTGGTTCGTCCAGAGTCAAACCTGGCTTCCGCACAGAGAACCACCCCTACAACCCTATTTACTCCCTACACAACCCTGCCTATGTGCAGGATTCTAACTTCTTCCCAAACATGCCTAATGTCTCCCAAATCATGTCTTATGACTCCAGAGTACGAGACCTTCTCCAGAGAGTGCGTGAACTCTCCCGAAATAAACCTGGCTCATCCACGGTCAGATCTGACTCTTCCACAGGAAAACCCCACCACCGGCCTGCCTATGTGCAAGATTCTGACTTCTTCCCAAACATGCCTAATATCTCTGCAATCTTCATTCGAAGACGGCCTGAGGCTTCCCCATCCAAACCTGGTTCATCCCAAGTCAAACCTGGCTTCCCCACAGAGAACCACCCCTACAACTCTATTTACCCCCTACACAACCCTGCCTATGTGCAAGACTCTGACTTCTCCCCAAGCATGCCTAATGTCTCCCAAATCATGTCTTCTGCCTCTACAGTACAAGACCTTCTCCAGAAAGTGTATGGACTCTCCCCAAATAAACCTGGCTCATCCACGGTCAGATCTGACTCCTCCACAGGAAAAACCCACCACCGGCCTGCCTATGTGCAAAATCCTGATTTCTTCCAAAAAATGCTTAATGTCTCCCAAATCACGTCTTCTGCCTGCAGTGTACAAGACCTTCTCCAGAAAGTGTGTCAACTTTCCCCAAATAAACCTGGCTCATCCATGGTCAGATATGGCTCCTCTGTAGAAGAATTCAACCACCGGCTTGCCCATGTGCAAAATTCAGACTTCTTCCAAAAAATGCTTAATGTCTCCAAAATCACATCTTCTGCCTCCAGTTTACAAGACCTTCTCCAGAAAGTGCGTGCACTCTTCCCAAATAAACCTGGTTCATCCACGGTCAGATCTGGCTCCTCCACAGGAAAACCCCACCACCAGCCTACCTATGTGCAGGATTCTAACTTCTTCCCAAACATGCCTAATGTCTCCCAAATCATGTCTTCTGCCTCCAGAGTACGAGACCTTCTCCAGAGAGTACGTGAACTCTCCCCAAATTAACCTGGCTCATCCACGGTCAGATCTGGGTTCTCCACAGGAAAACCCCACCACCGGCCTGCCTATGTGCAAGATTCTGACTTCTCCCCAAGCATGGTTAATGTCTCCCAAATCATGTCTTCTGCCTCCAGAGCACAAGACCTTCTCCAGAAAGTCTGTGCACTCTTCCCAATTAAACCTGGCTCATCCACGGTCAGATCTGGCTCCTCCACAGGAATGCTCCACCACCGAACTGCCTATGTGCAAGATTCTGACTTCTCCCCAAACATGCCTAATGTCTCTCAAATCACGTCTTCTGCCTCCAGAGCACAAGACCTTCTCCAGAAAGTGCGCGAACTCTCCCCAAATTAACCTGGCTCATCCATGGTCAGATCTGGCTCCTCCACAGGAAAACCCTGCCTATGTGCAAGATTCTGACTTCTCCCCAAAAATAGTAATATAAATGGTAACAGCCCAAGACAACTAGTAAACTGGAAAACAGGCTGACACTCAGCGCTTAGGATGAAATGAAAGACAATTTCTCCACTGTATTTAACAATGTTATTTTATAATAGCTAATAACACATCCACACTGTTACATATTCTGTCTTTCATATGCACACCCAAAATACAGAAAAAAGTGGGTTCAAAAGTACAGAAAAAAAGTGGGTTGATGAAACTCCCCGGAGTTGATTATCGTTTCGTTCACAACTTCCTCCGAACATACTGAAGCACCGTGGTAGTCTCTCTTGAAAATCTTCTATTCATAGTGTCTACACTTGATATTCCATGCCGTGAGAGGGTTGGAATCCAAATCTTATGAGGAAAGGCTGAAAGGATTAGGTATGTTTAGCCTGCGAAAGAGAAGGCTTAGAGGGGACATGATTGCAGTCTTCAAGTATTAGAAGGGCTGTCATGTAGAAGATGGACCAGATCTATTCTCTCTTGCTCCGGATTGCAAGACTAGATCTAATGGGTGGAAATTACAAGGGAGTCATTACCGGCTCAGGAGAAACTTCCTAACTGTAAGAGTGGTTGAGCAGTGGCACGGTCTGCCTTGGGAGGTGGTGGATGCTCCTTCGCTGGACTTTTCAAGCGGAGACTGGACAACCATATTTCGGGTCTGTTGTAGGTATGTAGGGCTATCTTTCAGCTATGCTCCTGCAGAGTGCAGGGGGTTGGACTAGATGACCTGTAAGGTCCCTTCCAACTCTAACATTTTATGATTCTATGACTCTACTACTCACAGTACCACCAATCTGTTTCGGGGAACATTTTTCTGAGAGACTGTCAATGTCAGTCTTGGAAAATGGAAGCCACAGCTGTGATCTGAGTAGTACATGAGATATACAAAGAGCAGTACCACTTGTTGTCAGATATTATCGGATGAAGTAGTTGGAGTCATTATGATAGTGAACAGTAGAAATACCCAGGCCCAAGATGTCACAACTGGCAGAAGAAATGGTTACAGGTGCCCCAAGGGGAGCTATTGTTGGCCCCTTCTTAGGCAATCTCATCTATATATATAAAAGAAAGTCCCCTCACTGTAAAATCAACGCCCAGGCCAAACCCTTGGACCTAAAAACACGAAATTCGGGAAGAGCACTCCTACCATGATGTAGATGCTCACTAAGAAGGGATTTATAGAAATTCAACCCCTAAGAGGGTAAAAAGAGGTAAAATGTGCTTCCCTCATTGCTTCCTATGTGGCTGCCAGGCTGCTGCCTCCTTGCAC